TTCTAAATATTATATTTTTTTATTTCATGTGAAATTATGGATTGGTTCATTTTTAGCAGCTAACAATTTACGACTTTTCCTATTGTGACTATTATGGTAATAATAGGGAATAATACATAATTTTGTATTAATTTGTAATACGACGATGATGGCTTTGGTGACTGATATCGAAGAAATGTCATATCGACATCCTAGAAACACTGTATTTAATAATAATTAAATACAACGACATGATCTTGGTTTTAATTAACAATGATAACAATAACAAAACATAAAAAAACACAACATAAATGGAACTTAACCTAATTAGGCAAATAACAAAGAAAAACTATTAAAAAATAGCTAAATGCTTTGTATTGCATCCCCTAGCCTATATAACTGCCTGTACACGCCGACTCATGCTGTCTAGGAGGTTGCGAATATCATATTGCTGGATGTTTTGCTATTCCTCTTCTAGAGAAAAGTGAAGTTCGTTAATTGAGGCTGGTGAGACTTTGCTACCTCTAGTATTTCTACTAAGCATGTCCCAAACGTGCTCCATTGAGTTCAGATCTGGCGAACACGCTGACCTGTTCAATTTATTAATACCAACTTCCTCTAAATATTGCGTGACACACATTGCAGAGTGGGGTCGCGCATTATCTTGCATTAATAGATAATCAACGCCGATATATTGAGAAAGGAGTACTACGTGATCCGCTAAAATTTCCTCAATATACCGGGTGCAGTCAACAAATCATCAATAAATAAAAATTTAGTGTGCGCCTCTCGGGATATTGTAAACAAAATGTAAGTGTCAATATGACATAATGATAACAGTCACCACAGCCACCTCGTCGTATTACAAAATAACTTCAAAATAATCATGATTAAAAAAGTCTTAAATTGTGGGTGGAAAATTATTTTGTCTCTAACCTAAAAAATGAACCAATGCATACTTTGACATGAAACAAAAAACACAATGCTTAGAAGACATGGTTTCAACCGAAAAATAGGGTTTTATGAAAAGTCGCTAACGGAATTATTCCACAGGATGTTTCAAAGATAGGATACTAAAACCACGTTTAAATTAGCAGCGTACAATAAGTCAAATATAAAATTTTATTAAAAATCTGACTAAACCAAATTAGAATTTATAAACTTTTACACAGTGTGCTAAAGAAATCATCAAAATATAGCTAAAAATAAAAAAAATTGAAATACTTCAAATTTGACGAAAATATTCTCAGTTGCGTTTTTTTTTGCATCTGAGTGTATATAAATATTATTTAACCTTCAAAAAAATAAATAAAACATATAAAATTTATTTGAAAACTTTAAATTTGAAATGATAAACATTATTGGTTTTTTTTATTTCAATATATTATATTTTAATTTAATATTGCATAAAGATTTAATGACTATTTTCTTGTGTTACTATTGATATTGTTTTGAAAATACAAACATTATTTATAAATTAAATCTAAATTTGTAAACAAAATGTTTGTATTTTGAGAACGATTTCCGAAACTGCTCTGAAATACAAGACGGTAATATTTTTAATAAATTTTTAATTTTGTTAATTTATTTGTGTCAAGTTATAGTAAATTGAAATAATTTGATAAAAAATTGGCATTGAGTTTTTCTGAGGTGAGAAATTCAAATTTTGAAAATAAATATTGACTTAATACTATTTTAAACTATATTAATGCGACTAAGTCATAACTGAAGTTTAAAATAAGTTGGAAATCGTTCTCAAAATACAAACATTAATAAATTAAAAAAATATATGTGTTTTGTTACTTGGTGAAAAATTCTTCTAATAATTTAATTTTATCTAACTAATTTATATTGACAAATCAGACTTATGTGATACATTTTAAAGTTGACGACTTAAATGATAGGTAATGCCAATATTGCTGAGTTGCGTTCCTGGGACGACTTTATTGTAAGATAGTTCATTCTATTATATGAAATCAACTTTAACTTGGGAATACCCGTCAGAAAAAAATCATAACATGTAATTCGTCTTTAAAATTTCTCCTGTTAGTGATTCCTTAGTAATTTATGAGGCAAAAACTAGGAAAAATATCTCATACTATCCATGTGTTGCATTTAGTTTACTCTCAATAAAAACCAAATTCTGATTCTATATATAAGTATGTTATTTAAAAAACATAAATTATGTATTCTCGATATGTTACTGACTTACTAATAGTGGTATTTGCCTTTTATTATCTTCCTCTTTTAATATGGGTAACCAGATCCTACTGCATTTTGCCTAGGAATTTATGACAGAATTGGTTCCATTTAGCATAATTATATCCGCTTCTTTGATTTTTCTCTTTTTACTATCCATTTCTTTTAGGACTATACTTGAATTGTTGCATTAAATCCTATGTTCATTTTTTCATACGTGTTTAAATATATGAGATCTATCAAATTCTCTATTTTTAATATAAGATTGATGTTCACTTATTCTAACATTTAATGGCCTTGATGTTTCACCTAAATAAAACTGATCGCATTCACAGAATGTTTTATAAATACAGTTGTTTGTTCTTTCTTGTTCATTGTTATATTCAGTTTTAGATAAAATAGGTCTCAATGTGTTTGTTGTTTTAAATGTTATTGAAGTGTTAAATTTATTTCCTATATTTTTAAGTTTTTCTCATAATAGATAAATTCAATATGAAAACAAAATTAAAGATCTAATAACAAATGGACCTTATACAAAATTGAAAAAGAATCCAACAAAGCCATTATAAAACAGAATATATAGAACTTGAGTTCAAGTTTAAAGATTATTTAACAAATTAATCAAACAGGATTAATTACACCTCTTTACAGTAAGAACCCCCATTTTTATGGAGTTCTGACAGTTCATAAAACGAAGATACTACTTAGACCTATTAGAAGTACCATGAATTCTCCTTGTAGTAAATTGCCAAAATTGTTATTAAATATTATAATACAAATAACATATTTCTAAAAAATACACATTTTTTAAATATTTTAGTGTTTTATTAAAAAATAATTATCCTTTATCATTTATAAATAAGGATTTTTTATGAATCGATAGAATAGATCAGAACAACTTAGAACGAGATCCTACAGCATACACAAGGAATAATACGAGAAAAATAACAATATTCTATATAAACGTTTATCAGAAAAACATAAACAGATAGGAAATAAATTCAACATTTCATCAACATTCAAACCAACACATTGAGATATATTTTATCTAAAACTAAACCTAACAATGAAAAAGAAAGAACAAAGAATTGCATTTAAAAAATGTCTTGTAAATGCGATCAGTTTAATTTAGGTGAAACATCAAGACGCTTAAATGTTAGAATAAGTGAACATCAATCTATATAATAATAGAAAATAGATGCATGCATGAACAAGCATGGAAAAATGAATATAGGGTTCAATGAAACGATTCAAGTATATCTAGTCCTACAAGAAACAGATTGTAAAAAGAGAACAATCAAAGAAGTGACTCTAATTATGCTAAATGAGACCAATCGTGTCGCAAATTCTTCGGCAGAATGCAGTAGTATCTGGTTACTTATATTAAAAGAGGAAGTTAATAAAAAGAAAATACCACTAACTCAGTAACATATCGAGGATACATCATTTATGTTTTTTTAAATAACATACATATAAAATCAGAATTTGTAGGAAACTAAATGTAAGGCCAAACAGTTACCATGTCAGCACAGTATTATTAGGTTTTTTTCCTCATAATTTACTATGGAATCACTAACAGGAGAATTTTAGTGTCATCATGGCATGTAGGTGTCTTATTAAAGACGAACTACATGCTATGATTGTTTTCTGAAGGATATTCTCAAGTTAAAGTTGATTTCATATAATCGAATGAACTATCTTATAATAAAGTGGTCCCAGCAACGCAACTCAGCAATATTGGCAATATCATTTTAAAGTCGTCTACTTTAAAATGTATCATATATGTCCGAATTGTCAATATTAATAAGTCAGACAAAATCAAATTATTAGAAGAATTTTTCACCGAGTAACAAAAACAAAATTTTTTTAATTTATTAATGTTTGTATTTTGAGAACGATTTCCGAAGTAAAAATTGAAACCTCAATAAACTTATTTTATCCTTCAGTTGTAGCTTATTCCCATTTAAATAGTAATTAAGAGTAAGATTAGAAATACTTTTTTAAATAATCAAACTGTGCTTTATAATATATAAGTTATTTTTAAAATGAATTATGCAGTCCTGTTCCTGTATAAAGATCATTGTAATATTCTGCCATATTTTCTTATGTGCTATTATGCATTTCCAAATCGAGTATAATAAAAATTTGAAAAAATTTTTAAAAAACATTTTTGTTTACTAAAAAAACAATAAAATAATTTATTGCTAAAATGAACTAGTTTACATAATACATTTTTACTAATTTACCTTTTATATAATCTACAATCCTTTGTTTGTATTAATTAATAACGTAAATATAGTTAAAACATATTCGTCACACGAGAGCATTTTAAATAAATCCATTTTGTTGATAATAACTCATTATCAACAAAATAAACACCAATTAATCAACAATACAATACAAATTATACACCGGAACTTGCATTGGAAGTGCATAATTTTGTCCAATCGCAGAAACAAATACAAATATTATTTCTTATTTTTTTAAATATACAGTACCAAGTGCCAATTAAAAATAATTATAAGGTGGGGACTGGTTGCCAATTTGCACATTGTAAAATTTTGTACATACACGTGACACCGTCCATTCAGAGAGCGCTTTATAGCGTAGAGGGGATGGTGGGAGGAGCCCAGATTTCCTACACTCCGATCGTACGCAACAGTTCCCAAAACATCTGAACTTCAGTTCCGTTGAGAGCGTCAAAGAGTGAAGTTGTGTATGCTTACTCTCGAATAGCCACACGCGCGGTGGTAAAAGTATCTGTGATGATTTAACAATTCGAATGGGACAATTTCGTAGTTAGAAAAATTAAAAACGTTACGATGATTTGGTTAATATTTAGTGGTTTGTTAGTGACAGTTTTCGCAAAAAGTTTAACGAATGTGGATTCCCCACCGAGAGGTTGTGAATGGCAGATGCAACTTATTGATGTCAATGTAAGTGGAGAAGAACCAGTGCTTTATTGTCAAATTAGGACCATAAATAGTGTTGAATTTTTGGTTAGGAACTTAACTCAATCTGAATCAGATCGTGTCACAGTATTAATGTTAGAGTGTAACGATGTTTTGTTTTTCGAGAGTTCTTTGGAAACCGCACGACAGGGCAATTTTTTATCCTCGCTGAAACAACTTAGAGATCTTAGAGTAGAAAATTGTAAAATACGAAATATACCTGCTGGAGCCTTCTCACAACTCAGACACTTGAAAAAACTTTCTTTGAGATCGCACAATTCAGAATGGTCTGCTATGAACTTAGAATTGCATCCTGATAGCTTTCGAGGATTGTCAGATGTAAGAAGTTTAGATTTAGCTGATAATAATATTTGGAGCACTCCTGAAGAATTATTTTGCCCGTTATTTAACTTAAAACATCTTAATCTTACTAAAAACAAACTTCAAAATGCTTCAGCTTTAGGATTTTCTGATTGGGGCAACGGGCCTTTAGCTCCGGGAAAAGCGTGTGTTAGTGGATTAGAAATTTTGGATTTATCTCACAACGACATTATATCCTTGTCAGACAATGGCTTTTCGGCTTTGCGATCTTTAGAAGAACTTCATTTGGAAAATAATGCAATCTCTACTCTGGGCGACCGAGCTTTTGTGGGCCTAACGGCACTAAACTCCTTGAATTTGTCAAGTAACTGCCTTGTTGCTTTACCACCAGAACTATTTCAAAGCTCAAGAGAGTTGAGACATCTTTATTTACACAACAACTCGCTAAGTGTCCTAGCTCCAGGCCTTTTAGAAGGACTCGACCAACTTCAGGTCCTTGATTTATCAGATAACGAACTTACAAGTCATTGGGTGAAAAGAGACACTTTTGCAGGCCTAGTAAGGTTAGTTGTGTTGAATTTAGCCAGTAACCAATTAACTAAGATCGATACAACTTTGTTTAGAGATTTATATACGTTGCAAATTTTAAATTTAGAACACAATAACATAAATTCCATTCAAGACGGTGCTTTTACAGAGTTGAAGAATTTACATGGTCTCATACTGAGCCATAATCGTTTAGTTCGTATTGAAAACTACCATTTTTCCGGAATGTACGCTTTAAACCAACTCTTGTTAGATTCGAATGAAATAGAGCACATTCATCCGAAAGCTTTCGAGAACGTGACGAATTTACAGGACTTGGGTTTGAACGGAAATATTCTCGGTACAGTGCCGCCCGGTATAGGACAGTTACGCTTCTTAAGAACGCTCGATTTAGGTAAGAACCATATCAAATCGGTGACTAATGCCTCTTTCGAAGGACTGGAGATGCTATATGGCCTGAGATTAGTCGACAACCACATCGTGAACATTTCTAGAGATGCATTTTCTACACTGCCGTCGTTACAGGTATTGAATTTAGCTTCAAATAAAATAAAATACGTTGAACAGAGTGCTTTTTCAAGTAATCCAACACTCAAAGCCATTCGTTTAGATTCGAACGAACTCACGGACATAAGTGGTGTATTTACAAATTTAAAAACTCTCGTCTGGTTGAATGTTTCATCGAATAAACTACTCTGGTTCGATTTCAGCCATTTACCTGTCAGTTTGGAGTGGCTCGACATGCACGACAACCAAGTGCCCGAGCTAGCGAATTATTACGACGTAAGAAACAACTTAAAAATCAAAATGTTGGATGCCAGTTACAACTTAATAACAGAAGTTAAAGGAAATTCTGTACCTGACAGCGTAGAGACTCTCTTTTTAAACAACAATAAGATTACAAAAGTACATGCAAACACGTTCAATGACAAAAAAGCTTTGGAAAAAGTGGTTTTGTACGGAAACGAAATAAAATTTCTCGATTTGGCAGCGCTAAGTCTCAGTCCTGTTACTAACGAGAAAGATTTGCCGCAGTTTTATATCGGAGACAATCCTTTTTATTGCGATTGTAAGATGGAATGGCTTCTAAGAATCAATCATCTCAGTAATTTAAGACAGTACCCTCAAGTATTGGATTTGGATTCTGTGACTTGTGAGCTCGCCCACTCCAGAGGCGCACCTCCTCAACCGCTACTAAGTTTAAAACCGTCGAACTTTTTGTGTCCGTACGATGCGCATTGTTTCCCGGTATGTCATTGTTGTGATTTTGACGCTTGTGATTGTGAAATGACTTGTCCTGATAGGTGTACCTGCTATCATGACCATACGTGGACTTCGAATGTTGTAGATTGTAGCAACGCGGGTTATAACAACGTTCCGGAAAAAATTCCGATGGACGCTACTGAGATTTACCTGGACGGTAACGACCTAGGCGAGCTAGGTAGTCACGTTTTCATCGGTAAGAAAAAACTCGAAGTTTTGTTTTTAAATAACAGTAACGTGAAGGCTTTACACAATAGGACTTTTAACGGGGCGAATTCCTTAAAAATACTTCATATGGAAAATAATAAATTGGAAGAATTGCGTGGTTTCGAATTCGATCAATTAGAAAATATCAACGAACTTTACTTAGACCACAACGAGATCAGTTACGTCAATAATAATACGTTTAAAAACATGCATAATCTCGAAGTGCTCAAATTGGACGAGAATAAAATCGTTGATTTCGTCCCGTGGAAGTTGCCGGATTCTGAAGCGAGCGTATCCAATCCACGTGTTACCCTCGACGGCAACAAGTGGTCCTGCGATTGCAATACTCTCAACCGACTCGTAGCCTGGATTCGGGAGACAGGTGGCAATCCCGCGAAAATGTTCTGTGCCGATATGGACAACTCAGAAACGGTGGCCGACGTGATTCATCGCTGCGAGGACATGGATAATGCTATCGCGACATCGGTTATTCAGCGCGAGGTGATAAAAAGCCACCAACTCTTCGGCGGCGGCAGCTACGTACCCCTTCTGGCCGCTACCCTCGTGGCCGTCATCGTAGTGTGTTTGCTCGTCGCTATTATGTTTGTTTTTCGTCAAGAAGTTAGACTTTGGGCCCATTCCAAGTACGGCGTTCGGATTTTTCAAGATGTAAATGCGGGATTGGATGGTGGAGACGACAGGGATAGGCTCTACGACTGCTACATGGTGTACAGCCACAAAGACGAAGATCTTGCTTCCAGAGTGATTGCTCCTGAGCTGGAACAATTGGGACACACGTTGTGTTTGCATTACAGGTAAGAGAATTTTATAAAAGATTACTTTGTTCAAATAAAGATATACACCATTGCAATTATTCAATTAGCAAATTTATTAGATTTTTGGATAATTTTTCGATTAGTATAAAAATTTATCACACTTTTTATAAATTATTAATATTAAAACAAGTTTTTTTTTTCTTAGACGAATTTCATAATTTTTTTCGTTTGCACAACTATTTACTTTTAATAATAATAAAATAAATAAAATAATTGAATATTTGTATGTGACATTATTTAAATAGAATATAAAATGACAATATTTATATATAATAAGCGTTTGTTTTTTTTATAAAATTTAATCTATGTATATATTTTGATAAATTGGTAATCATATTTATATTTTAACAATTGTTTCAGTATAATTCAACTGAAAATCTCGTATATTTGCTTTAAATGTGTGAATAGATATTTGCATTCCAGGATATGATGATAAGGGTAAAAAATCCTCTAAAATTTTTTAATTGGATCGTTTTGCTTGAAATTTTGACTTCTTCTTCTTATGGTGCCCTATCCAATTGGTGGATCGATCTTGTGTGGCTTTAAGGAGTGCATGGGCATCAAGGTTTGTCCAATCCCTTATGTTTTTAAGCCATGAGTATTTCTTTCTTCCGATGCCCCATTTTCCTTCTATCTTCCCTGTCATAATAAGCTTTAATAACTGGTACTTGGAATTTCGAAATATATGACCCAGATAAGCAATTTTCTTTTTTTATTATTATTTGCAGCAATTCTTGTTCTCCGCCCATTTGATTTAATACTTCGACATTTGTTTTGTGATCTGTCCATTATATCAAAATTTTGACAGTACATAGTTTAAAGAGAGTTCAAAAATAAAAATCTATACTAAGGCCAGATATGGTTTTCCTCTGGGGGTGGTTACCATCCGAACTTGGAGATGGAAGAAGTTTATCAAAAAAAACCATGATAGTCATTATAATAGTGAGTTTTAAGACAAAGATGTTCTTGAGAATTTTTTTCGAAAAGTCAATATTTTTGGAATTCGTGGCTGAATGTGACAAATTATACGTAAAAAAGCATGTTTTTAAACGACTTTTCATAACTTTCTTTAGGTTTACGGTCTTCTTTTTCTTCCTTGTAGTATGTAGGCTTTAAAGCTTGTTTCTTCTTCAATATTAGCCTCCTACATTATTTAAATTGTCGCACCATCTTTTCTCGGTATGCCAATACTTCTTCGTGCATTTGGTGACTTATCTCGTGCTATTTGTACTATTATATCCTCTGCCATTCTACTGATGCGTTCGATCCACTCGTATTTTAGCTTCTCTCCCTATCCAACAGACTTCTCCCTAATATTCGTCGGAGTATTTTCATCTCTGTTGTTTCTAGCAGTCGTCTCATTTTAGATGTGTCAGGTCTTGTCTCCGCAGGGTATGTTAATATAGGTCTAATTGCGGCTATAGATTCAGGTTTACGGTAATAATAAAAAATGAATATCTTTTTTGTATAAGCCTCATTTATATCCAAACAGTTTTCCTGACAAAATCTAAATTTTTGGAGTTATTCGCGAAAAAGAGATGAAAAACATGCTTTTTTGACCTATAATTTGGCAATTTTCAGTCACGAATAAACCCAAAAACATTGGCTTTTACAAAAAAACTCTAAAGAATATTTTTGTCTTAAAATTTCCTCGTCTAGCGACTACCATCGTTTTTGTTTTATAAATTTTTTTCTACCCTCGCGTTGAGGTGGTAACCACCCCCAGAGGAGAAGCACATATTAGCATTGGGTAGATTTTGATTTTTAAGCCATTTTTTACATATTGTTAAAATTTCAAGCAAATCCTTGTATATAGAAAGAATTCTGAGCAGAAAACCTTCATATCCTGGACTAATAAGCGTTTTTTAACATTGAATAATTTAATTTTTATATATGAATAATCTTATATTTTATGGTAAACAAATTGTTTCAGTATCATTTAATTTAAGAATCGTATGTTTACTGTAAATGTGTGAATATTTGCAGCTTTACTTCTAGGTACTATGGATTTTTCAAATTATTATCACATTTAAAATATTTAATATTATTCAAAAACTTTCTTGTATCTTAACGATATACAACTACTAGTGGGAGGGGTATGAAAATAAACCAAAATAACTAAAATATAATGATCTAATTAATCTCATTATAAACAATATCAATTACTAAGTTCTTTTTCTTAAGTTTGTTTTGTTATTAGCTTTTATTTGGAATTTTTTTCTGCGAACTTATCAGGAATCAAATTTCTTTCTCTGTTCATAAACATTCTGTTTATGTGGTTATTCCATTATTTCTTTATTTAGTGTTCTTTCGTTTGTACACTGTACATTTACATTTTGTTACATTTTGTTCTAATGTCACTTCTCTTTCGATCTCTCCTATTTTTCGAGTATTTTCTGCAATTCTTCTTAGTACTCTTATCTCTGCCGTTTCCAGTAGATTTTCTGTTGTGGCTGTGTCAGGTCTTGTTCTTGAGGCACATGTCATTATTGGTCTTACGCTACCTTTATACATTCTTGTCTTTATCTTAGTGTTAATGTGTCTGTTTCGCTATATAGTGTTATCAAGGAATCCTGATAGTCTATTTGCTTTCTCTACTTGATCTCTCACTTCTTTGTCCAAGTCTACGACACAGAAAAAACTCAGCAAACTATAAAGGAACATTAAAAATTATTGTTGAAACCCGAAAAACGATTATCCCTACACGTTATGAATAGTAATATCGAAAGAACAAATTGACAGTAGTACCCACACATCTTCAAGTCATCAAATATTACCTAAAACAGACCGCTGAATACGCAGCTCTACCTTCATTTATGTCGTGAATTTAATAAAAGCGTTCGACAAAATAGAATAGCTGTCTAACTAGAAAAAAAAAACTGATGGAAGATTAACTGAAGACAATAAGAAAAGGAGGCAGATTAAGCGTACATCTGTTTAATGTAAAACTTTTAAATAATTATAAAATTGGACACAGACGAATAAAAGCATATTCTATGCAGACGATAGTGTCATTACAATATTCAATGAAGACGGCATTTAAAAAACCAATAAATTACTATCTTCTTCTTCTTCTAATGGCACTACAACCCTTCGTGGGTCTTGGACTGCCGAACAATGTTTTTTCTTTCTGCCCTGTCCAATACTTTCTTCCTTCGCCACTGCATGATGGTCATGGTGTTAAGATCTTCCTCTGCATCGTCTATTCACCTTCTACGGGGCCTTTCTCTGGTCCTATTTGCTTGGGGTTTCTTTTTCGGGATAATTTTACAGCTCGATCATCTGGCATTATTTCTGTGTGTCAAGCCGATTTAGTCTTTCTGACTACAAATCTAACAATATCTGCCATCTGCTTTAATCCCTGTAGCTCATAGTTCATTTTTATCCTCCACGAACCATCACTATAATGGGTTGGTCCAACCACCTTTTTCTTCTTCCTCTTTATAGGCAGTTCTGCTTGTTTATTGGCGGATTAATACCTCTATGGAAGGTTGTCACTCTATCTTTTGCGCAGTGGTCTGATAATTCTTCGGTCGATTGGTGAGTTATCTCTTGCTATTTGACGACACGAGTCTCTTCCATTCTTTATGTCTATTTTGTCTCCATTCATTTATACACTGGTCAGAAAACAACTTCAAGATAAAATTGAATAGGATTTAGCAAATAGCAGTAAGCAATGTGTACAACCATCAAACAATAAACAAAAATTAAAAAAAATTACAAAGAAAGCCTTGAAATTAGTATTTCCACTACCAGAGAAAAAATCCAGCATTTTCTACTAAGTTACATGTAAAGGCAATATATAAACAAAAATATTAAAATACATAAAAAAGAACAAAATAAAACCAGCTTTTCAGAACAAACAACAATAAGCAAGTATATTAGAAACAAAAAGAGCCAAAAAAGCACTTACACAGTAGTGTATACAAACACCACTGTATACTGCTAAAAACTTACAGGGGTCAAACTGGTAGATATTTTAACAAACGTATAGCAGAACATAAAAGGGCTTTAATAATAGAAAAACAGATTCTACGTACGCCCTTAATCTTCTGGATCATAATCATTCTTTTAATTACCAATTTTAAATTCTTCTCATTTGTTAATTTTCATTTCTTTAGTTAGACTATAAAGTATAACCGTATACCAAATCAGTGTTTTATTGTCGACAAGATTTGTTTTAAGATAGTTGTCAATATTAAGAAACAAAAGGTACATAAATAAATTTAAAATCAATACTACTAATTTCACCATCAACTGATCATTGTACCCATATAACTATTCTTTCGTGTTCGTTATTGGTGCATTCTAAAATCCCATCTAGTCTAATAATACAAAATCAATTACTTGTGTTCTCGAGCATACACTTTGAGAAATTCCAATACGAAACGTGAACGATTCTCCACATAAGAGTATTATAATTTTCCCGCAGATCATATCTGCCATTGGAGAACATGACATCCTTACGTATTGTTCTTATGTATAATAGTCGTGTTCTTAAAAAGGAGATAAGACCTTTATATTTAAGGATGCTATACAACTATTATCTCAATCTCGTACACTCTCGTTGCGGTAATAGGACATTTTTGACAGTATCTCTGTTGGTATGAATGGCGAACTTGCGCGGTTTCTGCATACAATTGCACAGGTTTGCAAAAAACAATGCTGTACGTTTAAGAGACCCATTGTTATTTACCTTATTTGAAAATTGTTAGGCTAAAACGGCACAGAAAGCAATAAATCTGTTAATATGTACCTAAATTATTTGGAATATACCAATAATCGTTTGATTTTAGAATATGTTTACTATTACTGAATAAATTTCTTGAAATAAAATGTTTAGATATAACAAGTTTCCAAAATAGTATCTTAATTTGACCACAGTACCAACAATATAAAGAATAATATCAAGTTTTGAGTGTTTATACATAAAACATAATTAAACTCTCCCCTTTATCCTGACCCTTTGTGTTATTCAC